GACCAGGGACTTGAACCCACGTCCTGCCAGCCCTGGCCAAGGGCATCCAGCCCCCACCTGAGCGTCTCCTTGATGATGGCCTTGAGCAGCGGCATCTGGGCCAAATGAGGGGCATCGGGGACCTGCCCCCCGACAACACTGGTCACCTCGCGGTGAAGGTCGGCCTGGGCCTGTGGGTCCCGGGCCAGGTGGTACAGAGCCCACGACAGCGTGTTGGATGTCTGGGTGGGGGGTGGGGGGGAGGTGTGAGTGATCAGGGGAGCCCCAGGGAGCCCTGTCCTGACTCCCATCTCCCCCCAACCCTGCACTTGGCACCTGGCAGAGCAGGAGGGAAACTGAGGCAGGGGCAGGCAGAGCCGTACTGGGACCAGGTCTCCTCACTTCCAAATGCAGCCCAGCCTGACCCCCTCCAACCCTTGCCCAGCCAGGACCAGTCCCGTCCAGCCCTCCCTGGGCAGCAGGGCCAAGGTCTGGTCCCGGGGCCAGGGGTCCCCCATCCCCCCTGGGCCCAGCCTGGCTTGGGGAGGGGGCCATGGGGGGTCCCCAGGGCCGCACCGTGTCCACACCGGCCAGCAGCAGCTCAGCCACGCTGCCGTAGACCTGTGTGGGTGTGAGGTGGCCGCAGGCCAGCAGGTAGCTCAGGTAGCCAGAGGCCTCCTGGCCCCGCTCCTGCTGCGCCGCCAGCTCCTCCATCCTGCGGTCGATCAGCTTCTTGCCTGTGGGCACAGGGGTGAGCAGCAGGAGGGAAACTGAGGCAGGGGCAGGCAGGGCCCAGCTGGAAGCAGAGCCCCCCTACCCTATTCATGCCGGTCCCCTCCAGCCAGGACCCCCACAGGCAGTCAGATCCCCAGAGTCCCCCAGCTCCCACCCAGGGCCTGGGGGATTTCCCCTCCCCCTGCAGAGGGGTCACGGCCTGGGCCTGGGTTAGGGTTTGGATGGGGTGATCCTGCCTCGGGCTGGATGCGACCCCACCGCTCCCTTTGCCTCTGGGCCTACGACCCAGCCTCCCCCACGCTGGCACGGACC